AGTTGGATGTCGAATGTTGGCCAACGGCCAATACTACTTTAATAGTAACAGTCAGTCAGTCAGTTGCAACTTAGGACTTCGTACGTATGTACATAAGTTCAGGTTGCCATACCACATCAGCACACAGACGCAACTGTCAATTCAAATCCAAGAGTGATAGCGACAATAGAAGTATTAGCAGTAACGGAGAAGATTAAGGAGCGAAGATATGATTCGAGAAGTATAATTCAGTGAGATAAATTTAGTAGAAGAAAGATGGAGATGATGAGGAATTCAGAAGATTAGAATTATTAGAGAGAACACAAAAAGATTTGAATTTACTATTTGATCTCTGTGCTAATGTGGTTATGGCAACTGGAACTGATGGACGTATGTACGTACGTACGTACGAAGTTGATTGATTGATTGATTGACACTCCTTGATTTCATCATGCATAAATCCCTTTTTGTTTTAAATTACTAATGTATTCGTTTTTCCCTGTTTTTTAAAAAAAAAATTTTATAGATTGCACAAAATGCTACTGAAATCGATTTAAGCGGTGATCATTTAATGCGTGATGATTACAAACTTATGGAATGGCGTAAATTGCTCAGATATAAAAATGCTTTGTTAGATTCTAGATTTGAGTAAGTAAAATGAAAAGAATATTCACACAATCTTTTATCTTTTCCATTACTTATCAATAGTTATTGTACTTACTTACGCTTGTGACACCTAATGGAGAAAAGGCCACCGACCAATGTTCTCCAACCAAATCTGTCCTAGGCTTCCCTTTCCAACTCTGTCTAATTCTTGTTCATTCTTTTCATGTTTGTCTTCATTTCTTGGCGTAATGTGTTCCCTGGCCTCCGTCTTTTCCTTTTTACATTGAGGGTTCCAAGTAAGGGCTTGTCTTGTGACACCACAGTTGGATGCGCTTCTTCATGATTTCCTCCTCCGATGGAATGTGGTTTGTTCTCTCCCACAGTAGGTTCTTACTGATAACGTCTGGCCAACGTATCCGAAGTAATTTTGTGTAGACAACTGTTAGTAAACACTTATATCTTCTGGATGATGGCTTTAATAGTTCTACCAAGTTTCCACACCATACAATAGAACTGTCTTGACATTGGTATTGAAAATCCTGATTTTGGTTTTGGTTGAAAGTTTTTTGAAGTTCCAGATATTTTTCAACTGTAAAAATGCAACCCTTGTTTTGCCGATCCACGCCCTCACATCTGCATCGGATCCGCCTTGATTGTCCATGATGCTGCCCAGATATGTAAAGGTGTTAATTTCCTCCAAGGCATCTCAATCAAAAGTGATTTGGTTGGTGCATGTTGTGTTGTGTCGGAGAATCTTGCTTTTCCCTATGTGTATGTTGAGACTTGCTGATGCTGAGACCTGCTGCTGGTACACTGGTCATCTTCTCATTCCGATCAGCTGGACTACGGAACTTCGTACACGGTGAGGAAATCTGGCTGTATTCTGTGGTTTTCTCGTCCATAAAATTTGATCCATCAAATGCAGCCTTCGTTTATAGTCCTATAGCAACGTCCCCATAATCGTCACTCTCACCTTTTCGTGTACTCTGATCGTCTCCTCCATCTCTTGTAATTGCTTCAAGAAACTCCTAACGTCCCAATCTTCAAATGTCAGCGGCCATTACACTCTTATCTTTTCCTTAGGCAACGACACTACATGTAAGAGCGAGGCATTGGGCAGGAATAAATGTTTGATCGACGAAATGACAGTACTAGTACTAGTAGTCCTCCCTCAATTTTCCAATGCGAGATTCAGTCAGTCAGTTACAACGTAGAACTTCGTTCGTATGTACATCAATTCAGGTTGCTATACCACGTTAGCACAGAGACGCAATTGTCAATTCGAATCCCAAGTGATAGAGATAGTGGAGGTATTAATGGAAATGAAGAAAACAAAGGTTCGAAGATATTATTCAAGAAGTAAAGTTCAGTGAGATATGGTTGGAAAGACCAAAGGTAGAGGTGTTGACGAATCCAGAAGATTAGGATTTGAGAGACCACAACGAATGGATGCACTTGCGCCATTGCAAACCATTTTGAGCCATGTCATTGAAGGTCTCTAACCATTGGTGACTTTCGTCTCGCGGACCTCAACCAGGTAGTCGACACCTACCAACACGACTCAATCCACGTGTCAGTGACTTGATGGATTTGTGTCATGTTTAGGTCTGGCCATCTCTAGCTTTCTTCCAACCTACTCCCACACCACAAAACATAGTTCGTCGAGGCAGTCCGTGGTTAGCCATACGTAGCACGTGTTCTAACCACCTCAACTGATGAAGTTTCAGCACCTCATCTATTGATTTGCCATCCTTACCTAATACCCGTTTCCTAACGATAGCATTGCCTACTACTTGGTTGTCATACGATACACTAGCAATGCTTCTAAGACAACTAACTATCATCGAACACTAGTAAACTACGAATATCTTCCATTCTTACCCAATGCGGAATTCATCACAGTTTCAATGAAATCCAACAATCTCCACAATTCTCATTTGCTCACTAGTAGTAACTAACTAACTGAGGTAAATTCTTGAAGTTCTATTAAAAAGACACTGACCATATATATATATTTGCATTACGGGGTTGTGAAGATTGCTAAGTTACACATTTTTGAAACCATGGATCTATCAATGATAGACCACTATTAGAAACCTGGAAGAAGCAGTGAACGGCCGTTTCGTCCTGGTATGGGACTCATCAACAGTGCGCATCCACGACTCCTGCACCCGTAGGATTCGAACCCAGGACCTTCAGTATTGTCGGCTAACGCCTAACCATCGGACCACTGAGCCGGTATCTAACAGTGTTTTTGTCTAACTTGATCAATTCACGGAGTTGCGCAACCTCATACACAGTCTTCGGTAGTTACTGTCTACACCCGAACATGTTGAACTTCACTGGTCACGTCTCCCCACTAGAATTCGGAGAAGATTCCTCACGAAGCTAGTCACTAGTGAGCACAGGTAATTTGCATTACGGGTTGTGAAGATTGTTAAGTTACACATTTTTGAGACCATGCGCACTGTTGAGGAGTCCCATACCAGGACGAAACGGTCGTCCAGTGCTTCCAGATTTCTAATGGTGGTCTAACATTGATCGATTCATGGTTTCAAATGTATATATATTTATATAAAATTAATTAATTTTCTTCCTTTTTTTACTCTTCTAAGGTTTTCATGTGCTCATAGTAAATTTATAAGTGTTTTTGATCAAGTTGAATTTCCCATGGATATGACTGAATTGACATACACTTATGATGCACAAGAATTACAAGGCACAGCTGCTCGTATGGTTAGTTTTAATTTTATATATTTTTATTTACTTTTGAAATTATCTTATTGTTATGAATATTTACTTTATTGATTGGCATACTCTTGTTGTTGTTACCTTTCATATGGGGAGCATAGGCAGGCCACCTCTGAGATGACTTGCTCTGTCCTGAACTTTTCATTTTCCAGTTCTAGCCCCCCCCCCTCCGTAATTGCTGTTCATTCTTTTCATGTCTATTTGTAATTCTCAGCGTAAGTAATGTTTTCTTTGTGATCTCCTTCGGATTCCGAGCGCGAGGTGTGGTCTTGTGACGCAAATGGTTGATTTTTACCATGTGTGTTCTATCCTACCTCCAGCTGTTTCAGTGATGTTGGGTTAGAAAAGGTAGACCCTAAATATGTCATATGTCGCCTTAGCCCACTGATTTCCTTCTCCGGTGGTAAGGCCATTTGAAGAGCGGAGCTAGCACTTACAAAACTTCTCATAAAAAGCCGTACGTGATGGCCTTAAGTAGTTGTCTCTTGCGTTCCTTGGTCATGCCCCCTAAATCCTTAAGAGACTAGAAATAATGTAGCTTCGTTTTCAGGTTCTTTGAGAAATACCCTTCTATGGTATTGTACAGCCAGCAGGTTAAAAAAACCCTCATACTTCTATACACACACACACGAGATCAACTTGTTCATAACTAACTGACTGAGAGTTTTAAATTGATGCTAATATTTATTGTTGGCTATTTTAGTTTTAGTTGGTCATTCAGGGTCACCTGTGTACCATAGTTTAACTGCTTTCTGTTTGGCGCGACGAAAAGTGAGTGTTCAACGCTTCTACTGGATTGATGGGTATGGATGACGCATCCAGAAGAGTTGGAAAACTCTGAATCTAAACGAATGGTACACATGAGCTCCAGGGTCCTGTTGGAACAAAGTGGTGTGTGAACCTATTATTGATCACTGACTACCATAGGACTGTATCTCCTGAATTTATTCCACTGTCTTGTGGATGATTAGATCTGTAGGTCAAAGACTGGATTAGTGGTCTGTTACGCAAGCACGAAAACACGTCAATATGATATTCTTGAACTATTACGAGTTTACCATAGTAAACGAGAGCGAGGATCCAGCGACACGTTAGGCTACTCTAATCCAGTTGTCTCAAACCCCCATTGAGTAAATGAAGAAGACTTGATATGAAGTAGAATATGTATTCTACAAGCATCTAGAAAGTACGAGGTCCGAGCACAGAAGAGAATCAGGATCCCGGACTAGGGGGCGGGTCATAAAACGTTACAGATAGTGCGTATTTATGCAGTTAGGCTGGATAGGAAACAACATTTGAAGAATGTGACATTGATAATTAGGGCGACAAATAATTCTTTTATGAAACTGAGTGAATATCCCAACATGGTCTCTTACGAAAAAAACTATCAGTCTAGAAACTTGGCGTATACAAATTCACTGCTCTATATGACGCATAAGTAATCTCAGATGCCCATTCACATCGGTAATTGTTCATTTTAATATGTTTAATATGAAATTTCTGTTGAAGGTGGATAGTTTTAAGAAGATTTCGTTCAATTCAAAATTCGATAACAACACTTGAAGAAATAAAGAGTATACACATTAGATAATTGTTTGACACCTTTTTTTCGCAATCATTTTATACACCTTTAATATCAACCAAGTTTGTAACAATCACTAAAGCCATACATGAGATAATTAGGGGGGGGGTTCTAGCTCTTCACAGTTGTGCAATCATGTTTCCAAGTTTTCAATGATTTACTTACCAACTCACTCACTCACGCTTGTTACCCCTAATGGAGCATAGGCCACCGACCAATATTCTCGAACCTACTCTGTCCTGGGCCTTCCTTTCAAGTTCTGTCCAAGAGTTGTTCATTCATCTCATGTCTGTCTCAATTACTCGTAATGTGTTCCTTGGTCTTCCTCTTTTCCTTTGACCTTGAGGGTTCCAAGTGAGGGGCTTGTCTTGCGAAGCAGTTGGGTCCTTTCCTCAATATGTGTCTTATCCACTTCCACCGCTTCTACCTGATTTCCTCCTCCACTGGAATGTGGTTTGTTCTCTCCCACAGTAGATTGTTGCTGATGGTGTCTGGCCAACGGATCAATGAAGATCAGTCTAAGACATATTATGTCGTTTTCAAATATTAATGATAGTCAGTTTCTGAATGAATGATTTTTGCGTTTATTTTACGAGAGATTCGATGTTTCTAACATAATTTCCTCCTCATCATCATCATCAGTTTTTTGGTAATTAGAATTACTATCACTATATCTCAGTAACAACTTGAAGTACAACATCAATTCGAAAGTGATTTTATTTCAGAATTTAACGTAGCATTGTTTCCAAAATATCAATCAATGCCTACTAATATATATATCATTGTTTCTTCAGTACTTAAACAAGTTCTGATGTTGAAAAACTGCCATTCTTAGTTCCGTTATCTTTTCTCCCTCTTATCAAACAAAGATCACACTGATTATGCCAACAACAGTTTGCTTACAAATTTTTGTTAATTAAACAGACTACTTTTTTATGTGTAAGTAGTATATATATGTATGTATAAATTTCAATTTGCATCTCTCTTTTATATATTACACTAATGACTTTTTCAATCTGTCTCTTTCCATTCAGGATCCACGTACTTGTTATTCATTGTCATATAATCCAAGATATAAAAGTATACTAGAAATTATGTTCAATCCATGGGTTGCTAAAACTAATTTTAGTGCTGATTTACCGAAAAGTTATATTTGGAAATAACTTTTAAAGTTTTACTTTTACCCCATACCCTACCTACACAAACACGTATGCACACACACACACGTATCCGCATCTTCATTCATTATGTTAACCTACCTACTTGATGGATGTCGGTGATTTTTATTCAGTGTTTATGGTTGCTGATTGATCGACTGACTGACCAACCAATCAACCAAACAGACACACATACAGTAAAAATAAGGGAAATTGAGTTGTTGCTTTTTTTCAATTTGTATAGAAAATCAATGAACATAATATTTAGGCTAAAAATAGAAAAAATCTGAAATTTTTATATTTGTGTTCATTGGTTTTTTCTTTTTGAAAAAAAGAATTTCTATTGTAAATCACGTGTGATTGTAGTGAGCGAGTCAAGATACCTGATTAACTATGCTCACCACTAAATGTTCCATAATATCCCGCCATCATTGATAACAAAATAAATCCATGGTTAAGTATTTTATTGATGGAGAACGTTGGCATTACATGGGGAGCAGGGCATACACAAAAAAGTGGCAGCAACGTGAAGTGAACGTTGCGCGCAAGAAATAGTAGAAGTGTTTTTGTAGTACAGTTAAACAAAACGAGTACAATTATGTTTATTTTTTCAAAAATCGTATTTTCTTCGTAGAAGCGTTCTACTACATGATTTATGCAATATTTGCAGTCGGTCAAATGAATTCTACTATATTGCTCAATACAACTGATGACTTATAGTCAGTCGCTGAAGAAAGGAAGGGAAAAGTGGCATAGATGTTCGACATGTCCGACATTTCGATACGGTGTGATATATAGTCAAGTTTTAATTATTCGAAAGATGCAGAATAAGAGAGAAAGTTCTGTTGTCTTTTCGTTAATTGAATCGAATCATTTATATAAATATGTGAGTCAGTCAGTCAGTCATTTACCGCATAGAACGTCGTACGTACGTACGTACGTACGTCAGTTCAAGTTGCCATACCACATGAGTACAGAGGAATTGAGAATTGTCACATTGAATCCCATAGAAGTAGAGGTAGTAAAGGTATTAGAAGTAATCGAAAAGATTAGGATTAGAAGATTTTATTCAAGAATTAGAATCTAGTGAAATAAACTTAAAAAGATATAGGTGATGAGGAATTAAAAAGTTTAGGATTTGAGAGAACACAAAAAATGAATGCACCAGCGCCATTGCTAACGATTTTGAGCCATATCATTCAAAGTCCCCAATCACCGGTTACTATCGTCTCGTGGATCCTAACCAGTTATTAGTCTACACCTACCAGAATGCTTCAGTCCACTTATCAGTGACTTGATGGATTTGTTACATGTTTTGGTTTGGCCACCCCTAACTTTCTTCCAGCCTTTATCTGCACCATAAAATATTGCTTACCAAGATATTCGGTTGGTTAGACATTCGTAATACATGTTCCAACCATCTCAGTTGATAAAGTTTCTCTACTTCGAAGACACTTATGTTCGAATAATAGTAGTCTGACAGACAGACAGATACAACCCAGAACTTCGTACATAAGTACATCAGTTCAGGTTGCCATGCCCCATCAGCACAGAGACGCAACTGTCAGTTCAAATCCAACAGTGATAGCAATAGTAGAAGTATTAGCAGTAATGGAGAAGATTAGGGAGTGAAGATATGATTCGAGAAGTATAATTCAGTAAGGTAAATTTAGAAGGAGAAAGGTAGAGATTATGAGGAATTTAGAAGGTTAGAATTAAAAGCACCTGCACCATTGCAAACGATTCTGAGCCATGTCGTTCAAGGTCTCTAACCATAGGTGACTATCGTCTCGCGGACCTCAACCAGGTAGCCTACATCTACCAACATGACTCAGTCCACTTGTGAGTGACTTCATGGATTCCTACGAATATTTTCTTCACTAAGTGGCCATGCTTCACACCCATAGTGTAGGACTGAGTGAACTGCACAGTACACTCGCCTTTTGGTTAGCAGACGTATATCTCGCCTATGCCATATGTGACGTAATTTGGCAAAAGCCAATCGAGCCTTCTGTATCCGTGCTGAGACTTCTTCACATACCGGGCCATTAGCACTGATGAAACTCCTAAGATAAGTGAAGTGGTCAACACGTTCAACTACTTCACTCCCTATCACTAGTTCGTGTGTTGATGCGATTCAATCCTGAAGCGACATCTTGTATTTGGAGAGTGAGAACCGCAACTCAAACATGCTTGAAGTTGTTGCTTATGGTGGAGGGTCACTAAAAATCCAGTCTTTTTCTACGATTACTATAAACTGAAAAAGGAACTATAATTCTTCATGTCAATCATAGTTGGTCATGAACAAAGTAGAACCTTGAAAAAATGTGAATCGATTCATATTTCTACACTCATATAGACATGACGAAGAAGTTATTAAGATAAGCACAAAAATAGTAGTTTGTCTGAGTTATTTCATCCACTAACTTCAATTATTGTGATCCAAATAATGAGATGTCTAATCAGATAGTGTGCACTAACAAATATTTCAAATGAACAGTCGGTGATTTCATGCGTCTATCCCACGTCTTCATTTGGCAGCTTTAACTTTCTACAGATTAACTCCTATTCTAGCCAATAATGTACGTCTGTAACCTCAACATTATTTAGAAGAACTTGGAGCAATATTTCAATAATATTTATAACCTAAAATCCAAAGTCCTTATTTCTTGCATTTTCATAGACGAAGTTTCACAGTCATAAATTAAATCACAGCAAATTGCTCAATTATCAGACGATCACGTCACCTCAGCCACAACTAACGCCAGTTGGTAAAACCTCGTGTAATGACCGATTGCGTTGAGACCAAATGAGATGAGTGGTTCATTGAAAGTGGACACAGTTTACTAACAAAATGTGTACTTCCATTTTCAAAACAAGCGGATTATTGACCGTCTGATATCTTTTAGTCTTCAAATTACTGATCACCTTATAAACTCGGATTCAACACTCCGCTGCATATTAACTTTAAGTCACGTTATGAGAATTGTACACTATACTTAAACCAAGAATTCGTCTAACTGTATCATCGTTTGGATATTCTAAGTCCGGAGATGAGATTCTTAAGAGGAAATTGATCCCTGATACTTGTACAATTTCGCAATAGCGAAATTTTCATTACATGCCATGAGACACAAGGTAATAAGAGTGTCTGAGCCCATTCGCCCATCAAGCTGAGCTGCATCTCTTACTATTCTATGCCATACTATGTATATATACCATAAGCTATATTGCTATCTACAGCTGAAGGTTTCCTTTAAGACCAGAGGTTCGTGGTGATGGACGGTGTGAATGGCCTGGCATAACTTTGGCAAGCTTCACTAATAGTCCATATACGAATTTGGCTTTTAGGGTTATTGATTTCATTGTTACTGGTGGTTATCTTTCAACATTCTCGATGGTCATTGTCATTGCGATGTTGTACTGCATGCCACCATCGCTAATAATGATGAGTTTTTGACAGTCATGTACACGGGATGGATCGAATTGGCCTGTTCATGGGGTGTATATTGATTGACGACGTGATATATATATATATATATATATATATATATATATATATATATATACTGCTTTATAAAAGTGATGTGAATTGTTCATCAAGGTGTCAGATACCTGTATGGTTGTTGCACTACGGGACTGAGTCGAACTGTTCACAGTGAAGGGTTAACATGTGTGCAGTCTCTTTGGTTCTCCTGCAAAAACCAATGTAAAATTACCCTAACCCAATTAATGGTGAATTTTTTTAATTATTTATATTACTAGTTATTCGATATATGACTCGCATTTCTGTCATAGATTTCTACTCTGGACTCACAGAAAGTGACTGATTGTAATTGTGTATGATGAAAGTATTTTTCGCACCACTAGAAACCCGGAAGCACTGAAAGATGGCCGTTTCGTCCTGGTATGGGACTCTTCAGCAGTGCGCATCCACGACTCCCGCAACTCTTAGGACCACGAACCCAGGATATTCGGTCCACTGGGCCAAGATCCAAGTTTATTAATGTCTAACTCTGATCAATCTGGGGATTGCGCAACTTCACCCATTTGTCTTCAGTAGTTACTGCCTACTACACCCGACACGGCTGAACTCCACTGGTATTGTCTATTGCTTACTGTGATTTTCTACACTGATTGTGAATCGTGTATAATCTGATTTAACATGATCTAGTGTACCGTTCAACCATTCAACTGAGTGATATTATAAACTCCCTCCCATTCAGATTAGTCTCATTATCGTCAGTATGATTGTGAAGTGAGAAACTATTCTCACTAACCTAGTTGTATCAATTACTAAGATGAGGAGAATTTATCGAGACTGTTTCACTCTAATTACAGTGCAATGAAACACATGTGCACTTGTTTTTCGAAAAAAAATGTTGGGGATGCTAGATCCCCAGAACTTACTTGATAAAGGTCTTAATTTTGGATTTTATGTTTTAGCGCTTGGGCTGATCAGTTCACCTTGAGATTACATTTCCCACCTGGAATATCCTTGACAGTTATTGATTGATGTGTTATTTTTGGTACGCTATTTTTGTGGCTCTCCTAAGGACGTTTCTATCATGTGTGCTTGTTGACGTCATATTTTCTGGTAGCCTGTAGAGTACACTTTCTACGCCATATCAAGACTTCTTCCTCTATTCAGTTGGGACTTGAGATGCGTGGAACAATCAATTGAATGGAACTCACCAATCTACATCAACTTCATTGACTACGAGAAAGCATTTGATAGCGTGGATAGGAAAACACTGTGGAGGCTTCTTCGACACTACGGTGTGCCTGAGAAAATAGTTAACATCATACGGAACTGCAAAATCGTACACGAAGGATAGCTAACAGACTCTTTCGAGGTGGAGGCCGGTGTCATGCAAGGTTGCTTACTCTCACCCTTTCTCTTTCTCCTGGTCATCGACTGGATTATGAAAACGTCGACGTCTGGAGGAAAGTACGGTATCAACTGGACAGTTAGGACGCAGCTGGACGATCTGGACTTCGCAGATGACCTGGCTCTTCTATCGCACACTCAACAGTAAATGCAAGAGAAGACGACCAGTGTAGCAGCAGCCTCTGCAGCAGCAGGTCTCAACATACATAAAGGAAAAAGCGAAATTCTCCAATGCAACACAACATACACCAACCAAATCACTCTTGATGGAGATGCCTTGGAGGAAATTAACACCTTTACATATCTGGGCAGCATCATTGACGAGAAAGGTGGATCCGATGCCGATGTGAGGGCACGGATTGGCAAAGCAAGGGCTGCATTTCTACAGTTGAAAAATATCTGGAACTCCAAACAAATAT